CATCCCCCAAACCCATCCACTCCTAAACAGAGACACTTCATTCCCATTACCCAAAATGAAGTGCTTATTGTGGAGTCGACTTCTAGAGATCAGGCTGCCGGACTCGCAAGCGTGAAGGAAGTGGTTCGAACCCGATTTTGATCCGACGGTGTGTCCATGAGAAAGAGACTCTCCTCTACACACATTTATTTTCCTCACACCTCTCATGTGGGAATGGGTACCCGAACACACTCAGATGAAAGACATTTACTGCGTGTATCTGAGTACATTCATTATGTAATGGCAGCTTACCCTGAATGCCCCTAAAAACGCTGAGAATGTTTCAGAATTTTGATTGATTGCCTGGGTGTTTTCGTTTTACGGCACTATCGACACACATTAATCCATGATGGTAAATAAAGGGACAATATTGGGGATACAACAGAGTGCACACTGCCAGTCAAATTCTTTTAATTGAGTCGAGGCCAGACACATTTTTCACAATGATTCGATTGCCGTATAATTAAGATTGTTTTTTGTTGCATTTACTGTGGCTTTTTCTTTAGTTGTTGTTCAGTTTGAGCTGATTAAAGAAAGTCGAACATACTACCTAGTGTGTCGTAGATCCACGACTTTGAAAGAGATAGAGGGGTTCATGACTATACAAACACGTACTATCCTTGTCCTCTCGCTGATACGGTCAGTTGTTGCAAAGGTGTGGATGGTCAATATCAAACAGGATAGACCACAGATACCTTAAATATAACACTAGACACAGAACAACCCACGGGCCATGTTGATTAGCAGCCACACGCCCAGTGCAGTTTACTTTCATGAAGAGGTCTCCTCAGGCATAACAATAGTTTCCACTGAAGTGCACATAACAACATTACACCAAAATATTATAGTCCAAAGAATAACATTGTTACAGCTGTATTGAAGGTTTAGAGTAAATTGCGTCCCAATGTAAAATTAACCAAGTTTTGTTGAAAACGGTGTACGGTAATGGAAGAAGACCACTCGAGGTCAAAAGAAAACAAAAGGTAAACATGTCCCATTGTACAACCATGGAAAATACTCCATCTGTGATCCTTTTCGCTCTGGAATCTAAATGTAGATGGTTTCCGGGATAACAGATATGCCAAAAAAGAAATGCGTCTAACTGCAATTTGAGCTAATTAAACATACATTTTGAGACCCATAAACTTCTGCAGACTTTTTTTTCAGGCGTGCTCAGGTGGAGTTCAAGAATAAAGATTTCTATTACCTCTAAACGATACTTCAAACAAACAGTAAATCTACACAGTGTCACATTACTTTCTAAATTGCACAATTATCGCTTGTTAACGCCCACAGAATAAAAAACAAAAACAAGATGGCTGCCTGCAACAACACAACCAGTTCCGCCAAGTTCTGCGCCTGCGCTATGCTAACCCTCTTCCTGATCTCGTGTCTGATTGGTGGACTGGAGGCGTCCAGCAAGGCGGAGTACTACAGCCTGATCGACGACCTGTTCACGGGGTACAAGAAGGAGGTGCGGCCGTCCAACGACTATAGCAGCGCCTCCACGGTCACCGTCAGGATGTGGCTGCTTACTATTGACGATCTGGAGGAACAGGACCAGGTTTGTGTGTGGGGTGGGGGGGAGG